CAGGAAATTCTCTTCATGTAGGGGAAGCCAGGCAATGATTGAAAACTTGTCTGATAAGATCAGATTCAGTGAAAGTTTAGATGATACACTGTCCATGGGTATTGTAAAAGAGAATTTTTCAGATTTCTTGTCAATATAACTTGGACCTATGGTTTCTACTTCCTGACTTTCCAGTCACATTAAACTACTAAATTCTAGTGTCCACTTGTTGAACTCCCCTGAAATCGCTTTCGCTGTATTTCTCCTGATTGAAAAATGTAGAAGAAATATTTTGGACCTTGAGGTCCCTGTGGTCTTGGGCAGCTGTTCCTCAGTGGACCTTCTGTATGGTTCCTGTTAACACTCCTCCCTACTTCCCACCTGTCTATCCTGCATACTAGGGCTTCTTCCTGAGTCCCCCACTCAGCACCCTCCTTACCAGTGTTTCCCAACCTTCTTCCCTTGACTCATTTCCAGATCATCTCTGGCCCATGAGTCTTCTCATACTTTCTACTACCTCCTTCTATTATCTCACATTTGCTCTGAAAAACAGAAGACAGTGTCCTCTCTGAGTCCAAGGGAGGGGTATAGAGGAAAATCAGAGACAGTGAGGAAGTTAGGGACAGTGGAACAGACTGTGTGGGAGAAGGATAGTAGGGCATGGAGAGGGCAAGTGTGTCACATGTTTGGTGAGCTGAGTCAACACCCTACCCTCCTCTTAACTATTCTCCTCCCAAAGGATCAGCACCCTTGGTATGGTCAGCCTTTTGTATCCATGGGTTCCACATTTATGGATTTAACCAACCACAGATGCAAAATATTTTTGGAGAAATGTATCTATAATAAACATCTACAGACATTTTCCCTCTGTCATTATTCCCTAATCACATAGTAAAACAACTATTTACATAACACTTTGTATTGTAATATACAGAATGACATACTTGGGTATATGCAAATGCTATATGCCATTTTATGTAAGTGAACCCCTCTGAGGATTTTCTTATCTGTGGTATGTGTGTTTGTGTTTGTGTGTGTGTGTGTGTGTGTGTGTGTGTGTGTGTCCTGGAACCAACTCCCCATGGACACTGAGCAACAATTATATAGGCACAAAGTGGATTGCTAGGTTTGTCCAACATTCTATGTGCCAGAAGGACAGAAAGGGGTTAATGGATGTATATAAAGTATTCAGTAATCTGAAGCCAAGTTCAGTTGGAGTTCTGGTTCTCCCCACCCCGCTGCAATATTTACTCCCTGCATTGCAAAGACTCTGTACCTTGCAAAGATTTCTACCATAATAATTATATACTAGGCTCTACTTTGTTCCTCTAGTGCTAGTCTAGAATAGGACCTAGGGAGCTTAGGAACTCTGCTCAGCATCTTGTGATTGATAAGAAGTGGGGCAATTTCACATGTATGTATGACCATACTCTAATGTCTCAGGATACCACAACAAAACTTCTACCATGCCTGCTGTTAATTACCAATATTTTGTACATAATTTTAAAAATGTAAGCAAAATACTATCTACACTGAGAAAGGAAAGTGAAAACTATGGTATTTTTAAAATGTTAATAAAATTTTACATTGTTCTAATTTTAATAGATACTAGAAAAACCAAACTCCCTTTAGTAGTTTTAAATAAATTAGTTATCTTAAAATGGGGCAATAAAGCTTCATATAAATTTAATCAAGACAAAAATAAACATAGCTTCTAGGGAGTTAAAGAAGCTTTAACATATGTTCTTTCATTAATGAAATATTTTAAAAAGTCTTTGATTGTCAGCTCCTAGAGGGCAGGAATTGTGTTTGCTGAATTAATCGTATTTATCTACGACCCAGCACTATGCTTTATAAGGATGTATCATTCACTAAGAGAATCAATAAAGCATTAAATACATTGCTTTTGAGCAAATGCAATAACATTTGTCTTATTTTTATAGTTTTAAAGCACTAATTTTGTAGCTAGCTTCTCATTATCTTGCTGCCATTAGACAAAAATAAAAAGATAAGTCGTTCTGCAAGATGAGCTCAGGATTAATTTTCCCGCACACACTAAAAGAAAAAAAAAGATATTTTTAGTAGTTCACAGACCAAACCTTACAACAGAGAGCATGTATTTTAAAACACAGCTGCAGGATATTTAATGCTTATTTTATTTCAGTACTGTGAATTTCAAATTGAAATGGTATGGAGCATTTGTGAACTGGGTCACAATGTCAAATGCTATAGGAGCTTGTAAAATTTGACTATCTCTAACATCTTAAATTAAATGCTAATGGGTATAGCCATACAGCCTGAGTTCCTGAATTCCTTTATGCTTGTCACACATTAAAAATTATGGACAGTATTCAAGATGTCTTGAACCCAAGATGGACAAAAAGAGAAGTGGGGGAGGGAGGGAGGGAGGGAGGGAACATGCTGAAAATATTGAGTCTCTAAAGAAACATTCATTTTATGTTCTATGGAACAGAACTAAGCCTCTAAAATCCACATTCTATAATCCATACTACACCTCAGGCAAAGCTTGTAAAATTCCAGAAGGATGCCAATGACTCAATCCCCCATCAATTAAATTGGAAATACTTGATTATTTGGTCCAAGATAAGAAATAGCCTCAAACATTTTCATCTGCTCCAATAAATTAGGTTAACATTTCTAAATCAGTGATAGGGATGGTGAAGTATACCTGTCTTTTTTTTTTAAGGGGCCCATTAGCAAATCTAGTCACCCCTCCCTATTCATGGTTAGATTCACAATTGATTTATTATAAGCTGGACCTGAGGAAAAAGGCAGATGACTGAAGGTATTAGAAATGTCAGGTCATTTCCTCTTCTTTCCAATTAAAGGTATTGTACTGTACACAGGAAAGTGAGTTTTTCATCTCAAGTACACAGTAGGGAGAAACAAACCTGAGAAAATTGTGATTGTTTTCATTAAGTACGTTTAACACAGGCAGCATACATTAGTGCAAAAGAAGAACAAAGAAAAATGTGTTTTCTTTACTAGTAGGAAAAACACAAAGTGAGAGAGCAGAAAGATATATAATAAATTGACAGATTTAATAAAATGGAAAAGGAAACATATCAGCTCATATTGAAAGGGAAGTTAACTCGATACCAGGATGATTGATCTAGCCAGTCTAAGATGAGTTCCTGTGCTTTCTTAAGCCTCACTGAAAAAGGTACTAAGTAGTTCTATCTTTAAAACTATGTAAAGGAAACTCCAGCATTTCTAAAAAGCTAGCTTTATAGTCCAAAACATAAGGAATGTTTATTTAAATATGAGAAATTTATACAAAGTTTAGAAGGTGCAATGAAAAATTTAGGAATATAGTAAATTAACAATACATGAAACCAAATGAGTCAATGGAATGAATATAAATTGGGAGAAAACATAAACTGCATTGATTTCATAAATCCATCATTGTTCTGTTGTAAAAGGAAGTACAAATCTGTTCTTTCTATTAGAAAAGACTTATTTGCAGTGAGTTGGAAGTTTCTTTAGCAAAACCAACAGGATATAGTCCTGGCAGCTATTTTCTTAACTGTTGAAATATATATTTCAAGAAAAAGAAAGAAGTTACTAGATAAACAAGGTTTTTATTTAAATATATCTCTATACACTTTATTTAAATATATCTCTATATACTCATTTCTACTGCTGGTTTGGTACATCGGAAGAGTAATTATTAGGTTCTGTTAACTTACTCTCTTCCATACTACTAGTTGTAACTTCATTTATTAATTTATTCAGCACTTAAACCCTAATGTTAGTTAGGTCACATCAAAATCAGTGACTTGTCACTCAGAGAAGCTGAGACTATGAATGTGTCCTTGGTTATTGAAAACAAAAGGACAAAATGAGTAAAATACAAACAAATTTAATTTAATGTGAGTAAGAATTTTGTCAAAACAGCTGTTAAAAAATTGGAGATGATTACTGAAGAAAGCTGAGAAAACTTCACTTCATAAAGGGATCATTTTCTCCAAGTACAAACATCAAAGTTACCCTTACTATTTATGTCATAAATCTTTCTATTCCCTTTGATGACACAGAAATTCAAGTTGCATTTGGGTTACATTGTGTATCCTTCAACTGAAAGAAGATGCAACTTCCTTCCCTGTAGGCCATTCTTTCAAAAGCAGACACTTCAGGTCTTTATCCACAGTGGGAAAGAAAACACAGGTTGACACTGTGAGACTGATACCATATGCCCCACAGACTCCTTGTACATGCCAAAAGGCAGCCAGTAGGGGTGTGAAAGTGTTTGTAGGTGTAGATGAAACAAGATTAGCAAGGATCGAATAAACCATTGAAGCTGGATTATGGGCTCATGTTCAATATATTAGTCCTTTTACTTTTTCCATAAACAAAAGGTGTTTAAGAAAAAATAAAAAGCAAATTAAAATAGAGCTCAAACTGTACTCCCAAATAATTAGTAAAAATGGGAAGGTAAACAGGAATGAAAGATTCAGATGGTAAAGAATAACACTATTCACAGATAATACAAAAGCTTTGTTTCATTAACTTAAATGTCTTCCTTCAATACACAGCATAGTTAATACCTAAATATATATCCATTGCTATACCCAGAAAAATGGATTTACTAGGTGTTTACCTTTTCTACCTTGACTGTGAAGAAATGACTTATTGTCAGGCAGCCAAAAGAGAAAGAAAAAGCAAAGGACTTAGATAAAACACAAATTGTGCAACACAATCCAAGAATTGAGGGCTGATGATTTAAACAATAGAAGGTTTGATAGAAAAACAGATGTGATGGACCATTAGCTTTCAACTTAAATTTTTACACCACTAATCACTCATAAATTCATAGAAAGGTCAATTACTTCTAATTACATTGTTCTCTATGGAGTAGGTGCTCAATAAATGATTGTTAATTAGCTAAAATAGCATCCTTAACTCAATCACACAAGGACATACTACCAAAGCTTGACTTTTAAATTCATGCCATAGTGAACGTGTTTTTAGATAAACCCAACATATGAGGCATATTCTACCTGATATCCAAAGAAGACCATCAGCCACATATCCAGCATGACATGATAGAGATCGATCAAAGGACTGCACAAAAGTCCATTTGTTCTTCTTGGGGCAATATCGCTCAACTGTAGGCAGAACCTGACGCAGTTCATTTCTGCCCCCAACTGCATAGAGGTATTCATCCATGGCACCCAACACAAAATGCTCCCGGCAGTTTTTCATGGGTGCTATCTCTGCCCAGGAATTACTGCGGGGATCATAGCGACAGGCAGTCCTCACAGCACATGTCCGGCCACTGGCATGCTCCACTTCCCCTCCTGCTACAAAAAGAAAGTCCCCCATGACTGCCACGCAATGGTGACTCCTCCCCACAGGCATGGGAGCCAGTTCACTCCAGTTGGCAATGGCAGCTATGAGAGCATTCTCCTGATCAACAGGATTAAAGTACCGAAGTTCCTTGACTTTACACACCTCACGCTTTTTCCCACCAATGATATACAGAGTATCTGATTGGAAGCGTGGTTTGGTCCTGCAGGTCTGCCAGACAGGCTGTGCATAGATGCTCTGGTGGTATTCCAGGGCCTCGTTGACAAGAGCTGTTGCCGTCTCACTTGCCTGGACGAGGGGATGGGACAGGGCAACTGTATGGAGAGTATCCACATCCATTAGGCCAAAGCGAATATACTGCAGGAGTTCATCCATGTACTGGTAATGGCAGTTGTGTTCCAACCACCTCACAGCTAGCTGAAACAGAGGGAAGTGAGATAAGAGGAGAATCAAAGGTAAGAAAGAAAAAGCAACAGCAATGACTACACACAGATTTCCATATAATCTTTCAGACACTTAATACAATTTTTCCTACAAAGTACAATACTGGAATATTTTTTATTGGTGCATTACAATTATACCTAATAGTGGTATGTATTGTAATGCTGGAATATTTTGATACCCAGGCAAGGAAAATTTCCCCCCTAAATCAGCAGAGACACAGAAGAACTGTGATAATCATTGCCATCTCCACTCAAGTAACATGTGAATCCATGAGGCAAGATGATGTACCAACATGAGAAAAATAAGAACACATGTGATCATCTGGAACCGCGGGGTGTACGTGAGAGAAAATCAGTATGACACTAGTAGAATGATTTAGAAAGAAAAAAGACTTTCCCTACCCTTTTGGTTGGCATAACAGTCAGGAAGCAAGAAGGAAAAAAGTAAGGTTGCAACTTGACAATTTTATTTATTTATTTATTTTCTGTTAATTAGTTTTCACCTTGAAGGCAGTTGTTATTTGCATATGTTAAGATGCTGGCAATTTTTTAGGGTCATTTTCACAAGCAGGGGATAGAAGAGTTTATCTTTGAATGTGACCAAAATAGTAGAACATAATCTTTACTAACTTTTTAACTCACCCTTCCAGATCTTTTACAAGAAAAAAGGGATTAAGAAATTTTGGCTATAGGAAAAGACAATTTCTTAAAATGGAAGCAGGTATATTAAGTTATAAATAACAAAATTAACATTAATTTTAAAAAATACCATCAAAGAAAAAATTCACTTATGAAACACCTGAAATAATTTAATTAATGTGACTTGATATTTAAGTTTGGCAAATATTCCCATCAACATAAAACAGTATATATAATATTTCAAGTCAATATAGTTGATATGAATTATTCTTAGCAGAACCTATGTTAAACTAGATTTTCTAGATAACACCAATGATGGTGTTGAATCTGAAGGAGTTAGCAGGAAAAAAAGCCATGAATTGGAACATTAAATAATTTTTATTGTGTTTTACTTCCTTTCTGAGCTATGGAATTAGGGCTCTGGGCTTCCCTGTTCAGATGACGCTTAGCGTACAGAAGAAGAGAGAAGGAAGTATGGTACTCTTGTGTCAGATCTTCATCCCAGTAAAAAGAATCACTAGGTTCTCTGAAGCACTGGATAATTTCAGACTTCCAGAGTTTCTGCATCCATTTGACAAAAGGCTCCAAATGTCCAGGTGCCTTTTGGTCTTGTCTTTTTAGCTTCTGAATGAAGTGAATGAGGAACTGAATTCGATTCTGCTGTGTAGGGAAGTGCATCCTTAATAATTACAGAGTGAAGAGAAATGAAAAAGAATGTCACTGGGTACCAACGAGGCAGGCATCATGGAGGGCAGATAACTGACACTCTCTAGATGTTCTCATAGAAAGTAGTATTTTTATTTTAATTAGATACCAACCTGACGAAAAAAAATGGACTATATATGGTAACATCAGCAATAATCAAAGATGTTGCAAAATAAAATGCCACTCATCAATCACCAGGTCTCTGCCAGAAGTGGAGAGGGCATTCCATGTATGGCATCCTAGTTTTCATCCACTCTAATTTTAGAAGTTTCAAGGGACGGGGTTCCAATTATCTCCCTAGAGAGATAACTCAACAACGTACTAAATGATTTTTCATTCTTCACCCATAGAGTTTCCAAAAGTTCTCAGGAATAAAGTCATTTTGCACAAGGTCATTTCTTGTGTACCAGGTAAAATTTTCTAAAACTAATCTTTGATATTGCTCCTAACTTAATTGAGTAATTCCAGTTGATATTGCTTTGCTTTACAAACAATTTCTCAGCATCCTTATATCCTTATTGTTTTGCATCTTTCATATAGATATCACAGGAAACAGCTCTGGAGAAACATTAAATATCCATGTTGCCATAGCTTCTTTTTATAGCATAGTGCTGCCCATTTAATTATTTTTCTCTCTCCTCATAAATCAGTTCTTCCTATGTCATAATTAATCTTCCATCCCATCTCTGAACACTCTTCAATTTATCTTTATACCAAACAGTATCACTAACTGCATGAGAGATACACAAGCCTCAACCATGCTCTGCTGTTAAGGAAATCTCTAGCAAATCAAATTAGCAATTCAACAGTGACCTCTGTGTGCTACTACTGATTAATTTCTGGCTTTCTCTCTACCACCCCATGTCACATGTATCATGATTCTTTCCGTGTCCAATTTCCCTAAATATTATATACTACACAATACTTTATATATATAAAATACTTTATATATATTTGTTTGCATTTTCTGAGTGATTTTTCTTTCTTTCCAACATTTTTAACTTTTATAGATCTCATATAATTTTCACACCATTATATTTTATTTACATTATCAGAACACCCAAGTCATCTATATTTGGTGGGCTTATTTTTCCTCCAGATCAAAGATGAATGTAATGAACTATTCTGCCACCAACTAAAAACCTTGCATGCATATGAACTACCAGGGATTTCTGGTTAAATGCAGATTCTGATTCAGTAGGAAGAGTGTGGAATTAGGAGTTTACATTTCTATCAAGCACTTTGGTGATGCATATGCCACAGGTCCATAGATCACACTTTGAGTAGGATGGTTACAGATTGATTTTTATTCATAAAACAGTGTTCTTCTACCATGCTGTCTGAATTTAGTTACTTCAGAAAGCCACATTAACTGTTCCATCCATAGGATAAAATGCTGCCCCACTGGAGTTAATATATTGTTTTAAATTGAAGAAGAACTCAGAGTAATACCTTAATTAAGATATAGGACATGTAATTAGCTTGACCGTATGGATAAGAAAACATCTTGAGACTCTGGTTCTATATGGTCTATAAATCAACAGTTGACTTATGTTATCAATTATATAAAGTAAGTCTTATTAAACATACTGAACTTTTGCAATAATACATAAATAAATGTAAAATTGTTACTATGCTGTCTTTTTACTTTATGTTTAAAAAATATAAAGGAGAAAAATCACTAAAAGCAAAGATAGTTTCTACTTAGCCTAATAATGAAAGAAATAGGGAGAAAATTTCAAAACAACGAGCCATTTCAAAATAACTTCCATGCTGTGAACCTCACTGAAGCACTATTCACTTCTATGCTTAATTAAGGGCAAGGTTGTGGAAAGAATCCAGGAACCCATTTAAGGGCTTGAAGACTATAGTAAGCGGAAGACAGATTGATCACTGAAGCATCACAGAACCCAAAGACCACAGTTAGCTTTGTAGCATATATTGGTGCTTCAGCTTGAAAAAGGTTATTCTTAGAACTGATGGATTTTAAAATGATGACACTACACTGAAAAACCATAGTTCAGAGGAAGCTGAAATCCTGTTGTATCTTATCTATTCTGGCACGGTGATATTTCCACCACCCTAAACTCTAATATTTAATGGGGGAGAAAATGAAGCATGAGGTCAAAGTCCTACCTCCTACATTTTTGGTGACAAATCCAGCAAGAGTGGAAAAGAAATTACAGATTCGGTTTGGGAAGGCTCAACAAAGGCTGCTCAGGAAATAGGGTCCTTAGGTGAGATTTTCCTAAACAATGTGTAACAGCAGATGAACATCTCCAAAAACACCAGGGGATTTCCCATGCACCTTGCCTAATTCAATTCATGTAATCCCAATAGAGAATCATTCCTTCTAAAAAGGAGACTTAGCTATAGCTTAATCTGACCCCCATTAATCTATCTTCTCTCAGATTCTTGATAAGCACAGTCTTTGGCCCATAGTTGTCTATAAATATTTGCTTCAAAATGAAAAATTCTTTGCAACTGTTCTTAGGCTATTTCCATTTTTCTTAAACAAACAATATCAATTCCTTTACTCTTTTATATCTTTATTTATTTATCTTCCACAGACTGTAGTTTCCCATTTTATTATCTTATCGTTAATGGTTTTCCTATAAGGCCTTTGTAAGCTCTCAGAACTCCACATGCAGCACACAGTGCTCTACACTTACATATATATAAGCCCTTGTTTTCCCCCCTAACATGCTTGGTTCTGGCTGACTCTATTTGAGATTCTTGACGATGCAAAAAACACTACAGTCTTTTAAGCTTTCAAATAAGTAATAAATTGTTCAGGCAAGAAGAAACTTTAGAATACATTTGGTTCAAGCTTCTCAATTTTATAGCTGGAAATCAAATCCAGACAAGTTAACTGAACCCAAGTCATGCAACTAATTAGTAGAAAAGCTGCAACCAGAAACCCAGTTATTAAATTCCATAATCTATTTTCTATTATGTCAACCTTGTCATTATTTTACCATCAATAATTATTTTAAGGTAGTATCCAAGCAAACACACTCAAGTTCAAATATGACTTACATATTCTCTAAATTAGAAAAATAGAATCCATTTTAAAGTAAGTACATGTTGCTTCCAGATAGGTACCATATATTAATAGTACTAATTAAAGAGTTTGCATTTAAAGAACAAGCATTTCAGGGGAAAGGACATGCTTTGAATCTTAAATTAGTGTTTCGCTTTTTTTTTTTTTTGGTAGCACTGGGGATTGAACTCAGGGTTACACTACCACTGTGCTATATTCCCTAGTGCCCACCCCTTTTTTTAATTTTTATGTTGAGACAGGGTCTTATTTAGTTTCTGAGGCTGGCCTTGACCGTGCAATCCTCAGTTTCCCGAGTCATTGGGATTACAGGCACGCCCTACAAACACCTGGCTATGTTTTGAAATCTAAAATTCTAGATCCTTTTACAGAAGTACATATTTTGAAGTCCAAGTCTGCTTATATATGTCTCTACATATGTGTGCTATAAAACATGACCCTAAAATAATAAGAAACCATACCCTGACAGATTCCTAGAAAATGTATTAATGATCAAGTCATATTAATCCCCAAAATATACATCAGTACGCTCTTCCCCAGAAGTATCTTTATGCTTTGCAAACAGATAA